ATATATATATATATATATATATATTTAATATATATTTATTTCGGTTTTTAAAATATATATAGATATATATTTATATATATATGTTTAATATATATATATATTTATTATATAATTTATTTTTGTTTTTTTTAGTTTTTTTAATGTTAAAAAACTGAATTAAAAAATTAATTTTTTAATAATTTTTTTAGTAAGGGCAAAAGAGGAATTTTTGGATGCGGTGAATAGCAAAAGTGGGTGCGGTAAATAGCAACACTCATAATTAAATAATACCAACCAATCATTCTTACATATCACATTAACTTTAATTCACTATTCATCCACTTACATATTTTTAACTAACCATCACTTCACATCATCTCTCACATACTTTTATATCAAATCATATTTAACTATTTTAATTTAAACTCAAAATTCTACTAACAACTAACCATACTAACTTTTTTCAAAATCAACCTTGATTAACTGAGAAGACTCGTTTTCAGCGGAGATATTTGTATACAAACAATTAATGGCTAGGATGGAGCCTCACATTTCCATTTTAAGAATCGAACTCATTTGATGAAATCCCTATTGATTAATGTTTATCAATCAAACAGTAATACTGTGTGTAAGAAGATTGGGTACCAAGGAAGATGGCAAGCAATTGACCCCCAAGGGTTAAGTAGGGGATTACTTCTGCTCTGGGCTAAGGAGTTATGGTGATCCAAATCATTAAAAATCAGTTCTGTTTTGAAGTAGAGGTTGAGGATAAGAAGGGAGTGGGATCTTTCTGGATCATTTTTTGTTTATGCTAGTGCCTGCAGGAGAACCAAGAAGAGCAATGGGAATTCTTGATTAGGGCTAAGCAAAAGTGGGGGGATAATTGGGTGGCTGGTGGGGATTGGAATGAGGTTTTAGAGGTGGATGAAAAGAGAGGGGGCAGACAGAAATCTGAGAGGGATTTAAGGGGTTTTAGGTAATTCTGTGCTAGGATAGGAATGCAGGATATCAATATGACAGGGCATAGGTTCACTTGGGGAAACAATAGAGAGGGTGAGGGCTTTATTGAAGAAAGAATTGACAGATTTTTCACATCTTATGGGTGGCATGCGAATCACTCAAGAGCTAGTGTGGTGAATATCTTCAGAAGTTCCTCAGACCACCATTTATTGCTCCTTAATAATCAACCTGACCAGAGTAGTCAAAAGAAAAGGAGATTTGTATTTGACATGAGGTGGTTGAAAGTGGAAGGGGTGACAGAGACAGTTCAGAAAGCTTCGGAAATCCCAAAGAGTGGAACACTAATGTACTAGTGACCGAGAGGATAAAAGAGACCAAAGTAGCACTACTCAAATGGAGTAGCTCATTCAAAGCAGAATGTGAGAAAAGGAAGAAGCAGCTGAGTGAGAAGTTGGAGATGATGAGGCTACAAGGTGGAGATAGAAACTGGGGAGAATGGAATAGAACCAAAAGAGAGTTGGATGCATAATTCAAAAAAGAAGAGGAATATTGGAATTAGTAATCTAGAAGTAAATGGCTGCAAGAAGGGGATACAAACTGCAAGTATTTCCATGCTGTGACTATGGAAAGGAGGAAGATAAATGACATCAGCAGACTTGTTAGCAATGAAGGTGTGCTTTTATGACACTCAGGAGAATATTGAGAAGGGTTTGGTCTCAATTTTGACAAGTTGTTCGCTACTGAGGGGTCAAAGAATGAAGAAGATGTTTTACAAAATATACCTGCAGTCGTTACTGATGAAGTTAATCATAGATTAGTAGCTCCTATCACTGAAGAGTAAATCAGAGAAGCATTGTTCAGCATGGATCCTAGCAAAGCTCCAGGGCAAGATGGTATGTTTCCATTATTCTTTCAAAATTTTGGGATGTGATTAAATTGGACTTGTGTTCTGCCATTTTCACTTTCTATGAATCCTGTCAGATTTTAAAGAATTGGAACCACACTATTATTACCCTGATCCCTAAATGCTTTAATCCTGAATTTGTGATTAATTATAGACCTATCAGTCTGTGTGGTGTGTCTTATAAGATTATACCAAGCTTTTAGCCAGTAGATTGAAAAAGTTTCTTCATCTGTGTATTAGTCATAATCAGTCAGCTTTCATTCAAGGGAGACAGTTACTTGATAATGTTATTATTGCCCAAGAAGCTATTCACTTCCTTAATAAGCATAGATCTGGTCCCAATAGGTATATGGCTGTTAAACTTGACATGGAGAAGCCTATGATAGAGTTGAGTGGAATTGTATTAAACAGATCCTTATTAAATTTGGCTTCCACCACAACTTTGTTAAATGGATTTTGGCTTGGATCTCATCTGCTGTGTTCTCTTTCAATTTGAATGGGGAAGTTAAGGGTTTTGTTAAGGCAACAAGAGGACTATGACAGGGGGATCCATTGTCCCCCTATATGTTCACCTTAGTGTCTGAGGTGTTTTTATTGATAAAGGCTGAAGAGGATAATGGCAATTTTACTGGGATGAGTATATCTAAGTAGGGGCCTAAATTCTCTCACTTACTATATGCTGATGATGCTCTCATCTTTAGTAAAGTTGACTATGATTATGCTGAGGTGATGTTGAGTATATTGCATAAATACAATTGTTTTACTGGGCAAAAAGTGAACTTCACCAAGTCATTTGCTTTTTTATTAAGAACAGTCCTGCTGAGGCCCAGCTGAGGATTCGTCAATTGTTTGCTGGTATTTCCATTCATAGATCCTTGAGATATTCAGGGCTCCCAATTGGGATTGAGAGATCAAAGAGAGAGTGTTTTAATTATGTAGTGGGGGCTGTTAGAAATAGACTGGTCACTCGGAAAAATAGGTTTTTGTCTAATGCTGGTAAAGAAGTGCTTCTAAAATCAGTTATTAATGCATTGCCTATTTTTTCTATGTGTTGTTTCTGCTTGCCAAAAGGAATCTGTCAAGAGATTACCAAGTTAGTGCAGGATTTTGGTGGAGTAAAGGGGATAAACAAGAATTTGGATTCCATTGGAAATTTTGGAAATCTATGACTACACCCAAAGATGATGGAGGGTTGGGCTTTCAAGATATACTCTTATTCAATGAAGCAGTGATATTGAAACAGTTGTGGAGAGTGGCTACTCATCCAAATGTATTAGTCAGCAAAATCCTAAAGGGAAGATATTTTTCTAGGGATCTCTTATTCAAGCCACAGTCTCTTACAATGCTTCTTGGATGTGGAGGAAATGGATGAAGGTCAGAGACAAGCACAAGATGGGATTCAGGGTTGAAATCAACAATGGGAAAAACTCTAACATTTGGAAGATACCATGGATTCCAGGCACTGAATCTGGAATTCCTTTTAGGGTAAGCACTGTTGTCTGCAATTTGACAAAGGCTGAAGACATCATGACTGAGGGAGGCAGGAGGTGGAATGAGGAGTTGCTTAATGAATGGTTTAACAGATACTGAATATCAAAACTCTTAACCCTGATCTTGAAGATAAATGGTGCTGGGCATTTGATAAAAATGGGATATTTTCAGTGTCATCTACATATTCCTACCTAGTACTTCAGAAGATGAGAGAGATGGATGTGGCTGAAAATAACCAAGCCAACAGGTGAGGAAAGCTAGAAGAAGGAGATGGGGAATGCATGTCAAAGGAAAATTGTAACACTTCATGTTGGCAAGGAAAGCTAGAAGAAGGAGTTGGGGAACGCATGTTAAAGGAAAATTGAAACACTTCCTCTAGAAGTGCTTTACAAGAGTACTCCCTATCAGTGGGAAGTTAGTTGAGAGGGGAATGCAAATTGACCCAATATGTCAATCATGTGAGAGGATGCTGAGACTATTGAGAATGCCTTACTAACTTGTAGTAAGGCAGCTACAGTTTGGAAGCAGGCACCTGTCAGCTGGGAGGGATTAACGGCTGAAACTACAGAGTTTAGAAGATGGTGGTGGGAAATTTGCAGCTTGGATTGGAGAACAATTTCAGAAGAAATGATGCAGCTGAGCACTTATATTTTGTGGTAGCTGTGGAAATCACGCAACCTCTAGAAATTCTAACAAATCAGAATGTCTGAGCATGAGGTTGTAAGAGTGGCTTACACAGAATGGATGGAATATGGCTTGGTGGCAGCAAAAAGGCACAGGTAAGCAGCTGATTATGTGTGCTAGGTCTCTTAGGAGTTCAGTGGTGCAACTTAGTTGTTATTGTGTTCATTGTTGGTCATTAAGTAGATTTATGTGTTAGTCTATTTCTTCATATCTGAGAGGTTCAATTAGATATTTGCTCTGAGATGTGCTATTATGTATATTTGCCTATGGGTGTTACTATACACCGCCCCCCAAAATACATTTATGCCCTTTTTGTTTAAAAGAAATCATTTTTTCAGTCTACACTCTCTCTCTCTCTCGTTTCAATTTACGAAAAATTTCGAAAATAGTTCTGACGAATTCAGGTGAAAGAATGTCATCCNATTAGTATACATTATATTAGTAATTAGTATAATTATTAAAAATTATATTACTATATAAATAATTATATTAGTAATTAGTGTAATTATTATAAATTAACATAGTATAAAATATAATTATTTATAATAGAAAAAAATTATATTAGTATAAATTATTGTTTTGTAAATTAGAATAAATTATCTTATGAAGTAGAATTTATTGATATTATGCTAGAAGTTAGAAATTATTGTGTTATAAATTAGAACAAGTGTTATAGATTGATAATATTTATAAAATAGAATTTATTAATATTATGTTACAAGTTACAAATTATTGTTTTATAGATTGATTAGCTTATGAAATAAAATTTATTGGTATTATGTTAGAATTTAGGAATTATTATATTATAGATTGATTAGCTTAAGAAATAGAATTCATTAATATTATGTTAGAAATTAGAAATTATTGTGTCATAGATTAGGAATTTATTGATATTATGTTAGAGGTTAGAAATTATTGTGTTATATATTAGAATCGAGGGGAACGTTACAGAGGCAATGCAGGAAATTTGGTTAATCTTGTTTTGAGACATTCGAAAACTAAAGTGACCCACTGCCATTTTCTGATAAAAGTCAAATTGGAGGCACAATCTAAAAAATGGTGTATCTGGGTTCCTTATGACGATAATAAGAAGGGAATGCATAATCATGCGATGACTGTGTATCCCAAGTGTCATCGACAGATGAGTAGACTTAGCAATTCATCTAAAGCGATTGTCCATGATATGACTGCTGCTCAGGCGAAACAAGCAACAATGTTGGCTGCGATTCTGGAGAAAAACCCTGTAGACAACGCTACTCGCCGACATGTGTATAACTGTAAGGTTAAACTGCGGAGAGGTACTTAGCAGGGTAGAGATGTGGTTGCCCGACTTATGCACTTGGCTATGGTAAACAAGTATATTGCTTACACAGATACTGATGAGGACACGCAGGCGTTGACACGTGTGTTCATGACGCATCCTCAAGCAGCCAATCTATTCCAGACATATTACTGGTATGTCGTTATATATTCGACGTACAAAACCAACAGGTATGCTATGTTACTTTATAAATAACAATTTAGTGTGAATCTTAATTAGTATGTTTGAGTAAGTTTTTTGATTCTATGTTGCTTTCATCTGCACAGGTACAAGATGCCATTGGTGGAAATGATTAGAATGACGCCGTGCAACAAGAACTTTTTAATTGCCTACGCAATTATCAAGGACGAGACCGAGTACAACTATGACTGGGTTTTACAACGGTTGAGACTTCTAATAGGGCATGATGTACATCCTTCAGCCATTGTCACTGACAGGGAGTTGGGCTTGATTACTCCTATTCAGAGAAATTTCCCACAGTCGCCCCACTTACTTCGCACGTGGCACATCAACAATGATGTTGAAGACAGGGACTATCGACTAACAGCAAAAAATAAAGCTTTCGCTCAGCACTTCATGCACGGCAGGTGGAAGAACGTTGTCCAAGCGAGCACGTTGGAGGAATACAATACTGCCATAGGTGATATGTATGGTAGGTATGCGACGTTTTCTCGTGAGCTAGAATATGTGGAGTAGACATGGTTATCCACAAGGAGAAGTTTGTCAAAGCGTGGACGGATAATGTTTTACATTTTGGTAACACAACGTCGTGTTGGGTGGAGAGTGTCCACGCTACGTTGCAGCAGTGGCTTAACACGTCGACCGGTTCGCTCGACACAGTGTGGGAGAATATTCATAAGAATATAGAGTCTCAACATACTCAAATCAGGTACTTTCCTTTAAGTTATACATATTTACTATGTTATTACTGCATTAATTATAAGTTTAATTGGGTCTAATGTTGGTAATGCAAAACATTCCGACCGGCTTGAAATCAGCTCATCTTCATCCTCCTCTCTAGTAGAACGTTACCTGCAAAGAACTCTCACACCGGAGGGTTTTTCCGGTGAAGAGCCTCCGGTGTTTAAGTCAGTATGTATTTCAATCAATTCTCCAAAGTATAAAATGGATAAATTGTGGGTAGCAATAAAGGCTCACTCCTATATATATAGGAGTGAGATACCTGCCCTAAGAGCTTCCCGGATTTGGTGAGCTATCTACCCAACTCTGCCCGGATCTGCCCGTCCGTACACACGCAGTGTGTGTGTGTGCCAGAGGTGGTTATCGCCACTATTGCTCTGCACTAATATCTTCTCGCCACGTGCCCCTCTGAACAGAGAGTAATTATTCCCTTGAATATTCCTTGGGATTTCCTGATGAGGTCCACGCGCTTTCTCGCGTTCACACCACGCCCTCGATTGCTCTTCACTCACCGAGTGGTCGATCAAATGAGTTCTCCTCTGGTAGGTCGATCTTCGACCAGGTCTGCTCCTATGCTCGACCACTTCCTTTCAGTCAGCTATTGTTGGACTGATGTAGCATTTCTAATATTGGGGTTGTACGACCGGCCTAGTGAACCGGTATATTCTTTAGGCATATAATATCCCATATCATCTAGGCCCCCCCGCTCTGGTCGAGTCAGAATGACTCGACCGAAGATTGAGTTTGTGTCTGCCTCTTCGGTCTGCTGGCTTCTCGATCTTCTGACTGAATTTGATTTTATTATTCGACCATTTGGCTGGTTTTATAGTGGATTTTCAACTGCCTCTCCTCCACCTTTATTATTATTACCATTTTCATCTGCCACGCGTCTTATCTATCCAGTACTTTTAATCATCGTGTCCCCTCACAATTTGTGCCGCTTCGTTATCCGTGTCCATTTAATTCTCCAAGCCGTTAGATCTCACTTTAATCCAACGGCTCTCTCTCCTAACCCTTCAACTTGTCTTCATATGTACTCGTATAAGTACAGTACTTAGCGATTTTCAGCCTTTTCTCACCTTTGCAAATTTTGTGTTCTCTTGTGCCCTAATTTCTTCCTCTACAAACTGTGCTTTCCTGCTCTCGGCGGTTTCTTCAAGCATTTTCCGGCAACCGTTTTCTGCTTCAACCATGAGTAAGTCTCCTGCGCTCTAATTTTGTACTTGCGTGTGTGTATTCTGTCAATTTTTGATTTCCTATGTTGGTTCTTCTGTTCCAAAACTTCCTTATTTCGTCTGTGGAGAGGTGTTCCTTTGTTACCTTCCAAAACCCTAACCTTTCTCGTTTTCCTTTTGATTTTTCTTTCTCTTACTATTCAGATTCCGCCGCTTCTAATGAACAAAGCCACCACTCCGGCGAAGATGCGACCTCTACGTTGTCATCCCCAATTCGTCGACCCGTTCCCAACTCTCCTTCTCGCTCAGTGGAGGAAATTACAATCCAGTCCCCCTCAATATCTTTTGTCATACCGATCACGCTACCTCTTATTCTCCACCCCAACCTCGTCGTCTGATCGATGGATCAGACGATGATACTCTTGACCACCTTCCCCTTACCCATCATTGTCGAGAAGCTTCTGACGAGGCTGAGGCGGCTCTCGATGCTGCTGAGGGCACCCGCGATGAGGATCATACCCCTTTTTCTCAACGTGGCCCCCCTTCTTCGAGTAAGGGTAAGGTAATTCTGCTACTAAATCCAAATCTTCTGCTAAATCTTTGACCACTCCTGCTCCACCAAAAGCCCAATCCGATCCCATTACTGCCTCTCTTAAGCCGGCCCAAAAGAAAAAATTAGCCAAAGCCTCCTCTTCTAAACAGACTTCTTCTCATGCCCGCATAGCCGGTTGGCTGAATGCTTATGAGGTCGGTCATCCAGCGACCTGGGCTTTTGTATCACATGGTCCCCAAGACACTTATGATAATCCTCCCCAAAATTGCTATACTTTTTTCGAGATCCAATTTAAACTTGGAGTCCGTTTTCCTCTGTGCCAAAACTTGCTCGATATTTGCAAATGGTTTGACCTCCCCTTGAACCAGCTCCTTCCTAACGCCATCCGCTTTATAACCGTCTTCATCATCCTCTGTCACCTTCACCTAGATCGACTCGACCTAGACTTTTTCCATTACTGTTACACGACCTCAAAACATTCTCCAGGGCTCTACCTCAAGAGCCGCAATGATGTACACTTCATCTCGGACACCCCTTCGAATGTTCTCAAGTGGAAAGATAAATTTTCTTTTGTCAAACCTAGCCCCACTT